TCAGCAAATTCTCCCGAGTAAAACAGTACCCCCCCATGTACAGGTTTTATGGTGTCTTGGAAAGTTATAGGGTTAAATATAGTGCTAGCAAATTAAATTCCCTATACTTTCGGCATGGGTTGTCAGGCAGGTCCCGCTAATTGTAATTAATTAAAATACCTAACTATGTAAAAATATTACATCAATATATATGTAGCTTTCATTTTGGAGACTGTATTTGTGTGCAGCTGAGCACCGGGCCAAGATCTGGAGGAGAGCTGGAGTGCAAAACTCCAATCGTATTGTATGTATATATGTGTGTGTGTATATATATATGATCTAAGTATATCTTTTTAATTTTTTTTTTACACTGATTTTAACTTTCTTTTATTTGATTTCCAGCCAGCAGGGGGACTAACTGTCATTACAGGCAGTCCCCCTGCTGACAATGCAGCACCCAGCTAACCCGGCCATGTAATTGTGAGGTCCTCGCAAGGACCTCACTCTCACATGGCCGGGGGCGGGCCAGGGGAGGCAGGATCCACTGCGGTGGACTCCCTGGGATCCCAGGCGAGTCTCCCTAACCGCAATTGCTGGCGTGGGATAACCGGCGACCGGGTAAGTAAGAAAAACTGGAGGGCGTACTATTACGTCCTGCGGCGTTTAAAGCCGCTTAGAATAGGGCGTAATAGTACCGCCTCCGGTTTTAAGGGGTTAAATGATTTTGTGTATTCTGAGCAGCAATACAAATATATTATAAAAATATAAATAAAAATATAAACTAAAAGTTGAGTGACTAGGAATAGTTTTTATTATATCTTTCCAAAATATAGCAAAACTAAAACAGAAGATGACCTAATTGGTTACTTTTTTCAGCAAGCTGTAGATTTCTACATTTCTATACCAGATGAATGCATCAATCCCAGGCCAATTTTACATTTCATGTGAACTGTTTAGGAATATTAAAGTAATTAATAAAATGCAACAAACAATGCTACGCTAGCAAAAAGAACTCATTAATCATATTAATATTACCATCCAAATTATCATACATTAAAGCTCTTTGTCAAAATTTTAAATGCGTTCAACTAATAAACATTTGATTAATATTCTGCAGAATTTCGGCGATAAACAAACCCCAGGCAGACTTTCAACCAGCAAAAGGAGATATGATATACATTGCTGAATATAAATTAATGTGAATATTGAATTATAGATGCAAAAATCTGCCTGAGGATCAGCTATTGACATTATTTGGAACCTCATCTGTTGAATTAATAATTATTGTCATGATGGGAGTTGGAGTTTATGCAGCCTCCCCTGCTTAGAACTATACTAATATTGCTAGGTGTGGCGGCTGAAATTTGAAGATGATTGACCACTAAAATCCTCACTCAGAAATCAACTGTGGGAAAATTGAGCAACTGATGACCTACTCACCACTTCCACCTTGAGAAAAACAAAACACAAGAGTGAGTGGGCAATGGATGATCAACTCACCCATTCTACCCATTTATTGAAAAAAAACAAGGAGTTAATTCCTGCTGCTGCATTTTCTGTTTCTGCACACTTGCTTTTTCCTTTCCTTTTTTCTAAAAAAATCCCTCGTTTTAAAATTAAAAGAAGCTGATAGGGCACTTTATTTTCCCCACATTGAACAACTTTCACTGATGCTACAGACTGTATGTAAGTAAGCTTTGCCATTCTCACAGAGGGAGGGTGGATGGCTCATAACTGACTCTGGCAACACTGCAAGACTCAGCCAAGCAGGGCAAAATCACTCTAATGAAGTGTTTAATTTAAAAAAAAAATTTTTTAATTTAAATGGGGAGTTATTTAATATTTAAACAGGGGATTTTTAGAAAAAGTGAAAGGAAAAAGTAAGTGGGCACTGGGCAATTAACATTTCACTTGCCTATTTTAACCTGAGAAGAACAAATTTTCCTAAACATCCAGTCTGAAGCATCAATGACTGTCCTTCAGTGTAGGAACGAACACAGGCATAGTCACACTGCAAAACTCATCCAGGCAGGGTAATACCAAACCACTACAATGAAAGGCAATTAAAACATTATAACAACCAGCAGCATCACAACCACCACATTTTATTTTATTTTTTCTAGAAACAGTTCAAAAAAAGACATGCCATACTCACTAGAAGCAAGGTTCACTTGTTCAACAAACTGTCACACACTATACTGAGGGAAGCAGCTTGCAATTTGCAAAGCAGAAGCAGGGGCACAAAAACACAAATAATGCATCTCTTATTGGAAATAAAAAAAAAAAAATCACAAATCAGTAAAATAATTCTAAATCATTTGATCAAAGTCTGTATAAGTACACTGGCAATAGCAGCTAGGCAACATTTTTTTTCTTTTTCTTTAATTCATCAGATGAGGTTTCTGATTGTTGCTGTCCAACTTGTCTGTCTACTTCTGCTACTATCCACACGACTCATCTAGCTCACTCTCCAAGGAGATCCAAAGGAAAATACAACTGTCAAGTGACTCCCATTCAAAGGAATGAAACAGCCAATCCAATCCCTCGCACCACCATTCCAAAGCACCCAATTCTGACTGTTTTTTTTTTGTTTTTTTTAGGCCAAAGAAGGGAGAGATTGTTCTCCCCCAAACGGGCATTGAAAGAGAGGAGAGACCCAAATCTGTCTCCAGTCCAAAGAATAAGAAGAGAACAAGAAGAGACATCAAAATGACTCCAGAGTCCAAGGACATGGAAGCAATATGAGTCTTGAATCTGTCAGATCGGGTTCTAGAAAAGGAAGAACTGCGACTGCTCCAGAAAGGACTGGAATTTGCCCCAAACTCGAACAACTCCAAGTTCAACATCTTTATCGATCTACACAAATATGTTAGAAAATTAACCATCAAGAAGTTTATCTCTGAGAAAACGTTCAACTCAAATGATTCCTCTACAACATATGAGCATACTGTTACATCCAAGATACATTTTTTTATCCACAACAAGCCAAGAATGACTATATAAAGCTCTTTGAGAAAAAAATGGTGAAGGACCTTAGGTCCATAAAAAAAAAGCCTGAAGTAAAAGACAATCTAACTAAAAAAGAGAGATCAGCCCTGAAGAACCTGATAAAATAATAATTTGACCAGCAGACAAGGGGGGTGGCGTAGTGGTTAGGAATCTTTGTGATTATGTAACAGAAAGCAAAAGGCTACTGAGTGATATGGAGACATACACAATTCTACCAGAGAATCCTTGTGATGAGTATTAGAAATAATTATTTACCCTTCTGGAGGAGGGCAAGTCGAGAGGTATCTTTAATAAAAGGAAATTTGATTACATAAGATGTGAACATCCAAGGTTAGCGGTATTCTACCATCTCCCGTAAATTCACAAAAGGTTTGTCAATCCACCAGGAAGACCTATCATTTCAGGTATTGGCTCTCTATCATTGAATCTCTCGGAATACGTAGATCAATACTTACAAAAACCAGTAATGAGACTTAAATCATATCTGGGAGATACGACCAAAATGATCAAGATCTTGACGGAAATACAGTGGAAATGCGTAAATATCCTAGTCACAGCTGATGTGACCAGATTTGCGCCTAGTTATGCCAACTTGTTTATGGGCAAATGGAAAGATGAGTTCATCTGGTCCCCATCCCATTTAAGTGCAAATCTGGTCCTCTGGCAAAGATACATCAGTGATGTCATCTTCATCTGGAATGGAGATGATTCTACATTGGATATGTTTAAGCAATACTTGAATAACAGCCCATATAATTTACAGTTCCTTTTAATCAGTCACAGGAGCATGTGGAATTTCTTGACTTAGACATCTATATAAAAGACAACATGATCCACACCAAAACATTCAAGAAGTCAGTAGACTGTAATAGTTTCATTCCAGCTAACAGCTACCACCAAAAAACCTGGCTGGATAATAATTTGAAGTAGGAGGACCGACCAAGCATCTTTTTCCATCTCCCGGTTCCTAAAATCGATGCCATATACACGTCCCCTGATAGGAATAGTACTACTTAACACACCTTATAATAATGCAGAGAAAGGCAACACAGAGAGAGGAGTCTGAAGAAGAGGAGTCAGAGGAGGAAGGTGGCTTTGAGGAGGTGAAAGACCAAACACAGCAGGCGTCCCAGGGTGCTTGTTTTCACCTTTTGGGGACCCTTGGTGTTGTACATGGCTGGGTGGAGGAAGAGACCTTCAATGACATAAGTGAGGACAAGGAACGGGACATGGCTAGCTTGGTATCCAACCTTGTGCAAATGGGGAGTTTGCGGTTGTGCAAATGGACTGTTTGCGGTTGTTTGCGGTGCATTAAACGGGGAGTTTGGTCTGTCACTGTGAAGCGGCGTAACCCTTACAATACCTGATCGATGATACCTGATGTTTTAAAGCACGTTATTCCAAACAATTTAGGAATGTTAGGTGATTTATGCCCTTTATGGATTAAAACCATACTCTGCATCAACTATGTAATTTTCCATGGGAGTTTTGCCATGGATCCCCCTCCGGCATGCCACAGTCCAGGTGTTAGTCCCCTTGAAACAACTTTTCCATCACTATTGTGGCCAGAAAGAGTCCCTGTGGGTTTTAAAATTCACCTGCCTATTGAAGTCTATGGCGGTTCGCCCGGTTCGCCGGTTCGCGAACATTTGCGGAAGTTCGCGTTCGCTGTTTGCGAACCGAAAATTTTATGTTCGTGACATCACTATTTCTAATCTCTAATTTTTTTCCCATGTTCAAGTTTTGCATGTCAGTTACCTATTAATCCCTGCTAAGGGCATTCTGAAACATTTATTAATTCATAGACTGTGTAGCGGAACCCCTTTTTGGCTGTCCTATTCCTTTTATTAATTGTTGGCCCTACAGAGATTTTCCTGTGCCTAAAGTACCCAAAACTCTAAGTGACTAGTTATGGACATACTTTGTTCGGTATGGGAATAACAGCTGACATGTGAACCACCAAAATTCCCCATACGAACAAAGTACCGAATTAACTGGACCACCCTGATGTGTATAATGGATCTATTTACCTCCCTGCTTGCATTTCATTCCCTTGTACGCACGAACCCGCCGCCATTTCGGCAGCCGAACACGTGGCAGCCACCATCTGAAATCCGCGAACAGCGGTGTTTGGCCGTCGAGTGTCTGGAACTGAAAACGGACACTCGACTAGCCGAACACCGCTAAGACCTCCAGGGCTTCAGAAGGCATGGATGGAAACCCACAAACGGCCCGGCGTTCAGTAGGATGAATCCCACGAACTAGGGGATTCATCCGGTTACCGAATGCATTATGGATGCCATAGCAATTCGGGACTTTTGGGGCACGAATGGAGACCGACCGCAGGGCCAGATTTCATGGAACTATTTTCGGCTACTTTGCCCAGGTGGTCGGTCAAAACTTTACTTCCCCATAACTCCCGAACCCTTGGTCTGATCTGGATGATTTTTTATATGTTTCTCACCCAGATCAGGGCTACAAGGTGAGAAACATATAAAAAAATCACCCATACCATATTTAAGGGCATATTCCACCTATTTGAAATGTGGGGGAAAATGTGCTGTATATAATTGGATTAAAGGCTAATCTAAGGGGAGGAGATGTGTGGTAGGTAACGTCGCTGTTATTGGGTAAAATGCTAATTGTGGTGAATCCCTCCCTTGCATGGGAGAATCTCATAAAAGCAGGAATGTTGCCATTAAAAGTTAGTTCTACTCCTGATACTGTGTGTCGTCCAGTGATTGGGGAAAGTGATGGGATATTATTGGATTGTATTGCTGATTGTACTGAAGATTCTATTGGATTTATTACTTGATCCTGCATCCTTTTAAAGTACTTGGTGGAGTTAAGCTGTGGGAAATCAGCTCTCCGCTACAGACTGTATAGAGCTATCTGTTAGGTAATCTCATAGTATGTGTAGGATATTCTATTTCTATCTATATTTATCAATTTCTCCAAGACTATATGGGGGCTTTTCTTTACTAGTAGAGATCATCTGCGTGATACTCACAACCTAATGGGGTAGAACCCTAGTAATCTCTGTCCATTCCATATTTTCCACTCAAAAAGGAAAGACAAGTCTTTCCATTCCAGTTATTGTACTCATCTAGCTCTGCCTGACAGCGCTGGTAGTAGTAATGGAAGAAGCACTTCTAATGTAATCAGATACATTATATAAATTGTATTAATTGTCAAAGTATTAACTTCAACCCTTTTTGTTTCAGAGGGAATGTAAGCTGTCACAAAACCATCACTTGATTGATTAATATTAATGAAAATGCTGATGGTGGTGGTACTGTTGATGTTGATAGTGTTGGTATTGGTGGTAGTGGTTGTGTTGGTAACATTGACAGTGCGTAACGTGTCACAACTGTCATTGGATGAGAAATTAGATAGAGGTGGGCTTTGAAAAAGTGAAGCCGTGCAGGAGGTGAGTGAACACTACCTGCCAGATATAACAGTGAGTTTCTGCTTGTTATCTCAAGACTCTTCTTGTAATTTCTGTGGGTCATAGTCAAATAGCTCCTGGACCAAAGGTAAAAGTCCTGTGTCTCCGGTGGTAGGGTAAAATCTACAAATCCATAACCAGATTCATAACTACCACTAAAACGAGACATTGGAGACACTAGTTTGGTACTCTCCTCTACCTCTTCAGTAAAGAGTATCTCTGATGGCACCCACAAAGTATGTTCTGCTAAGCTTACCCTTAGTTGGGGGACTTCAAGAAGGAGTATGCTATAAATCTTGAACTAGCTGTTGTAGAACATGCTACATTGCCATTGGAAGCAGCAGCAGAAATTTTCTTCATCATATCAGACTCTTCTGCTACTGTAGAATCACCAAATTCAGAAAAAAGGCAGATAAAAAAACAAAAAACAATTGCTTCCTGTGTGGCGAATCAGACATAGCTGACATGCTAGCCTCACCGTCCTAAGGCTGAATACTAGTAACCGTGTTGGTAATGATGATGGTGGAAGTATAAGCAGTCCTCATGGATGGAAAATAGCTAACAAGACTGTGAGAAGCCATGGCACTACTCAAAGTTTGTGTAAGTGGCACTGTGCACTGGCAATGGCTAGGCACAACATTAACCTAAACAATCTCACACTAAGATCAATGCCTCACTCAGAGTTGATGAATGTAGCACTGGCAGTAGCTGGGCAAGAGGAACTTCTTCTTCATTATTATTATTATTTTTTTTTTTTACTTAACACATTAAAAAAAAAAAGATTTTCTTTTTTAAAACAGATAACAAAAACACAGACACAGCAAGGGTATTAGTTTGCAACAACTGAAGTTAAAGTGTCTGTCTTCTAGAGGAATCTTGATAGGAAATTGATTTTAAGTGCTCCTTTTTTTTCTGTTGGTCAATTCTTAATTTATCTGTAAATAAAATCAACATTTAGTGGCTTTAACCTAACCATCAATAATCATTTTTTTTTTTTTTTTTACCTCTTCATTGGGCAGGAGATGCAGCTGACAACATTGGGCAGGTCTCTTGTACAGTATGGCAAACTAAGGCCTCAGTTTATTATTTTTGGGGAATTTTTTTAAATTATTATTTTTTTTTTAATAATATTTTATATATTTTTATATGTTGATAATTTTATATATGATATTTTTCAATATTCTAAAATTTTGAAAACTTTTTTTAAAAGTTTGTCCAAAATATTAAATCACCCGAGAAGCTTATCCAAAGATATTAAACTGCGGCCTACTCTGTTTATTTTCCATCCCTTAAAAAAGAAAAATCAGTTTACACTCTATTTTGTTTCTGTTTTTTGGCATCACTGGTGAGTGCCTCCCATAAACAATGCCTTATTTGCACTACAAGAGTTTTGGAGCATTACAGTTTGCTTCACAACTTTGTTTTCTACTGTTAAAAGCTACAAACAGATGTAATGACATTATGGACTCAATATTTTTGAAAAAGCCTTTTACATTCTGGATTCATTTTTATGTTACTTCTTTCAAAATATTATGTTACTTCTTTCAAAATATTAAAATATATATAAAAATCATACCATATAAAAATGTAAATATATAAAAAAAATGTAATAAAGAAATATTGGATAATTTAAAAATGTTTATCCAAAATAATAAATCGAGGCCTATGGCCTGAATTTTATTTGTTTAAATCAGCGTTCAGTTAAATCAGAAAATATTCCATTCTGGTAGATTTGTCTGCAAAATGTGCATAGATTTTTAAGATGACTTCTGTAGATAAATCATTTAAAATGTGTTTCTTTTCTTACAGAAATAAATAATTTCTGATGCTGATTCAAACGAATTAAATCAATGCCAATACATGCATTTATTTTATAAAAAAGGGAAACAAGCTGAGAGAGATAGACAAAACAGGTTATAATTATAGATCATAGTGATTTAAAACAAAAATCAAGATGTATAAAAAATGATCAGCACAACTAACAGTAGCTTAACATTCACATATGTGGGTGCCTGAAGTGAACATTTAAAAGAATATCAAATTGTAAAATGTATTTTAAAATACTCGTTAGAAAAATAGCTGAACTGGAGATTGCTTGTAATTCAGCTATATTAGCCTAAAATTTGCAATTCTGTTTCCAATTTACCACAATCCTTCTTTATTGATTAAATCCTCAACTGCATTTCTGTCCAGTCATGAGTCGGTAGTTGTTAAAAAAAGGGTTACTATTATTACATGTAATAAGTATTATATATGCATGTTGCTGTGGTAATGTGTGACTCATTTTTATACGAATGGAAGTAATATTTGTATAGGATATTATATATACATGGAGACTGACAGATTACTATTCTTGGCTACTTCTGTATGTCTTTCAAGTGATACAATAAAGACACAGCACCTGTAGGTATGATGTCCTATCAAAGCGTAAAGAACATAATTAAGAAAAAAGTGTCTGCTAATTAATATAACCGAATAAAGCAAATATGTGGTTGCAATGTTGATTTTATGTAAAAACCTAAAAAGCCTGAACTTGATTAGTTAATGCCACTAAAACAGTAATAATACTAATTATTATTATATTGTTAATATATTTAATGATGCCAAAATACCATAATATTACAGTGTGCAATGATGCCAATTATGTTAGTCCAATAAAAATGCATCATTGCATACTGTATTACTCTGTTGGCATATTGTTTACTGGACTAATATGGCTAATCCAATCTACACTATATTTAATGATTTACATGTGAGTTCACTGAACCAGTAAAGGCATAGACCCTCTAGAAACCAGAGAAAGCCCTATATATGGTGCTTCCTCCTTCCCCACTTAATGTAGATAGCAATATATCATGGTGGGCCTACACATTCTTTCCCAGATACTGTCACCCATCTCATACTAAAGTAATAAACAGGGATAGATGTCCTCAGGTGTGTGTATGGGAGGCTGTATGTGGGGCAGTGTGTGTGTATGGGAGGCTGTATGGGGGCAATGTGTGTGTATGGGGGCAATGTGTGTGTGTACACCACCCCCCCCCAGCCTACCTGTCACCTGTGGGGGTCAGGCAGCCATCTTCAGCAGCAGCATGGGCTGCTGCATAACGGCGGGGGCGGGGCTTATCGGCGGTTTTCGTTTGGGGGCGGAGCCTGTGCCGGGGAGCCAATCAGTGCTCCCTCCAGCCACAGACAGCCTCCAGCACCTCAGCACTGCATTCCCTCGGACTGTAACAGGCTGTTACAGTCCGAGGGAAGCAGATGGCCAGCTAGTTGCCAGCATTTGGGGGGGCCCAAGGGGGGGCACAGCATCATGTAGAGGGGGCCATGGCCCCCTCTGGCCCCCCCCTAGCGACGCCACTGGAGGTATGCAAATATCTATCGCTGGGTGCCTTGCTCAGGAATGTTTCCTGGTAAGGTGGTCTGATTGGAATTTATCCTGAGCTTTCTGATTCTAATGCAACGTTGGTACCACTGATCTAACCAGCCAATATCACAGGGATGGGTTAAAGGGACTGAACGTGTTTTGATGCCAAAAGAACTTTAGCTTAACGAGGCAGTTTTTTGCATACAGACCATGCCTCTGAAGTCTCACTGCTCAACTCTTTGCCATTTAGGAGTTAAATCACGTTTGTTTCTTTTAATGCAGCCATAGTTACTGACAGCCTGCATTAAAAAATTTTTAGTTTTCAATAACATGTTACTTACTTCTATACTAATTTGTATTTCCTACTCTGTAAATTGAACTTTAATTACATACAGGAGGTTCCGGCAGAGT